TTCACTTCACAATACCATAATTTATTAAAAAAAAAAATTATCGTTACTATATATTGCAATTTTCGAAAAAAAAAAATAACAGCATTTGACCTGTGACCGTTCTGCAGCTTGCAGGCGTTTTATTTAATTTTATTTATTTATTTTTAAACTTTAACCGCTGGCCCGATTTTTCTTAAACCGGCCCGGACCGGTTTCAGGTCCAGGCGACCCGTGATTCGGCCCACTTGGTTCATGGGCCGAATTTCAAGTCGGTTCGCCTCCGTACGGGCCTAGGCGGCCCGCTCATCTTGACACCACTAAGTCACCATAAACAAAACTGCACACATCGCAAACCAACACTACCAGTCACCATCACATCTAATGCACCACCACTACTGCCTTCAACTTAAACCCACAACCATAAATACTACATTCATTAACCTGTGCTATTTGTGACTAATTGTGATCAAATTTATCTTTAATGTAATTGTCTATGATCATGTCAATCTAATTTGTAACAGTTAACATAAATTTAGTCACAATGAAGATAGACTTGGTCACACCCGGTTGTCGTCGCCACCGCCATTCCAAACAACGTTGAGAATCAAATGAACACCACCTTACCATGACCACATACACCACCAGAAACAGAACTATCGTTGCCTACACCACCACCAACAGAACCCACAACAACAAATTCACCCCACATATCTGGAAATCACTGGCACCATTTGCAAAACATCAACAACCATCCCAAAAACCTGGCTAAACAAAAGATCTATTGAAACAACCACCTACCATATCTGATCAAACAATCGCCTACACCACCACATCAAACAACGGATCTAGTTAAATAACCACCTACTAGATCAATTTCAAAAAAATTTCTTTCATCGTTACATGAATTTCTCAACCCAAATCCTAAATTCTTAGCTCTAAGTTCAATACAACATGTAGATATGAAGACGACAACTGAGTGAGAACAGCTTACCCTTCAGCTTCGTCGACAGGAAATCGCTAAAAAAAAAAAAGACTAACATTTCCTACAAACAACGGTCGTCAACGACGCTACAAGCAGCTCGTCGCTGCAGCTGCAATTGCGAAGCATGACACTGATGCTTACAGTAGCAGTGACGCCTTACTATGTTTCTGCCCCGCTCGTCATCGTCGCATAAAGTGCTTGTACAGCACCATCGTCGAGGCGCTGCTTACGTCGCAGTGTTGGCGACGATGACAACTTGGCTTCGATGGCAAGCGGATGGTGGTGGGTATGGTATGTGGCTAATAAAGAAAGGGTAGAGAGTGAAGATAGATATGAGGGGGAGAAAGAGAGAGAGAGAAATAAGTTGGGAATATTGGGGATTGAAATTTGGGTTAGGGTTAGGGGTAGGGTGAGGATGGGGGTAGCGGTGGCAAATAAGCTCGGCGGCTCGGGCTCAGCTCGGGAAAAGCCCGAGCTGAGCTTGGCTCTGGCTCGGTCGCACCAAGCCGAGGCTCGAGCCTAGCCCCATTTGGGGGCACCGAGCCAAGCTCGGGCCGGCCTGTGTCTACCAAAAAAAAATTAAAAATTAAAAAATTAAAAAAAAACTTACACAGCCTGTGTGAGGCAGCTACAGGAAATGGAGCTGTGCAGGCAGATGGCGTGCATGCTAACGATTACGTGCACAGTACAACAAAATTTAAA